AAAAATAACGCAAAGAAAGGTTGGGCCAGCGGCCCAGGAAGGAGTCTCTGCCTTGTGAGAGCTACAGCCCCAGCAAAAGCAGAGCATGCTGATGTTTGGAATTTATTCTGAGGGCAACAGATGCCAATGAATAGCCTGTGGAGGGTGCGGTTGCAGGATTGATTTCTGTTTTTAAAAGGGTGTGTGTGTGTGTGTGTGTGTGCGCGCGCACACGCGCGTGCAGTCAGATCTGTTATTCAGCCGCTTCCATGTTATCTAATGGCACAAGAGCTCACTCGGCCCCTATGCCTGTCAGAGACTTTTCTGTCCTCAAAAAGCATCAGAGAGGGGCGCCGCGCCGTCTGAAAACTTGTGGCGAGCCCCATGTCTGGGGAGTTTCTGGATACATTCAGGAGTCCTGCAGCTCCTACCGTGCGTGTCCATCTGGGATGCAAATACGAACGCTTCATTTTACTACTGCAAGCAATGACTTTTGAAATACGGGGGGGCGTGTGTGTTTGGAAGTTTTAATCACGAAGAGCCGTGAGTCATAAGTGCTGCGTTTCCACATTTCAACTACATGAATGTTTTATTGTTCATGTTGCATATGTTTATTTGATATTTTAATATCTTTCAACAAAGTGTCCATTCAAATGTTTTGATTATTTAAAAAGATCATTTTCATGTAGAGGAATAAGACTAGATTTTAAGATTTTTTTTGAAAATAAGTTTAAACGTACCCAAGATATTACAAATATACAAATATAAAGAACATCTGTATGGCCTTTCTTCACCTATTAATGTCTTAATATCTGTTTTTCTCTGCTTTGCTGCAACCTGAAATGCTCCTCATACTTTTTTGTCTTTCATATTAGTATTTTTGAATAATACAAGGGTATCCTCCATCCCTCTGCCCTGCCCCCCATTACTAGAGTATGTGTCAGTTTGGCCTTTCTTTGTGACTAAAGTTCTTAGACTGTGGGGCACCAGTTACGTTAAATGCCCGACCTTTTGCCCAGCGCTTGCGGGTGACGGGGGTGGAGCAAGGGAGGAGGAAAGAAAGCTGGAAACAAAAGAACTCATGACTCAGCATCACTGAAGTTCTGGAATTATCTTGCTCAGGGACACTACTTCCCAAGCAGTGTGCGTGTGTGTGTGTGTGTGTGTGTGTGTGTGTTTGTGTGTGTGTTCACATTCACAATCCATGGACAACACACATACAATACACACCACCGCCCTGCACACACCAAAGACTGTGTATACCACACAGTATATGCCACACCCCATATCATGCAATACATATATACTACACTGCACACAACCACACACCCACACAACCACACACGTATTATACAACACATGCAGCATGCACTACACATTCTACATGGTACACACACGTGCACACAGCATACATGTATGCTACGTACTCACACACACACAAACCCAGTTCTACTTTGCAGTTTGTAGCTGTCACTGAAATCCTGCTTTGGCAAGAAATCATTAGTGGAGATTTCCAAGGTCTGCATTAAGGCTTGCGTGAACTTCCGAACAATTCTGTGAGTTTTCATGGATTTGCCATGGTAGCTTGCTGGTCTGTGGGTTTTGTCCCTGGCAGTCTGTTAAATCCCTCCAGTCCTGTGAAGACTGCACTCTGTCCAACAGAGCCAGGACTGTGAGGGTGGGCTCCGGATGGAAGAGTTAAGAGAGCCCTATTAGCCTTGTACCCCTCTCAGTAAAGAGCCACCAGCCCACCGTGTGACCTGTCTTTGCTCTCTGGCCCCACACTCTCTTCAGGAGTGGTTCTCTAAGGAACACCTACTGTTTCTCAGGTTATGGGACAGGATGTATGTGGATCATATTAGTTTTCCTTTTGGGAGTAAAAGCTGGCTGATCTGCCTTTGACTGATCTCCCACTTTCAGCACATGTAATTTTGAGGTGCTGGCAGATGGACCCTGATTCCCAGGCTTGGCGAACTGATTGATTTGTGAATAGCTTAAATTGGTCACATGATTCTTTTCTTTCTTTCTTTTTTTTTTTTTTTATTTGAGAGAGAGAGAGAGAGGTGTGTGTGTGTGTGTGTGTGTGTGTGTGTGTGGCCAGCTCAGCCCACCAGGGGGCGGGGCTGGCTGGCATGTGGTGCTGGGGGATTGAACCGCGGTCCCTGATGCTTTGCCAAGCTTGTTCTAAGTAGGTGCTTTAGACCACTGAGCCATCTCTCCAGCCCCATCTTTCTTTCTTTCTTTCTTTCTTTCTTTCTTTCTTTCTTTCTTTCTTTCTTTGCAGAACTGGGGATTGAACTCAGGACGTTGCACTTGCCAGGCAAGTGCTTATTTTACTGAGCTATCTTCCCAGCCCCTTGTCACATGAGTCTTGAACCCAAGGCTCACTGAAGTGACTGGCAAAGGGGTGTTTTTTGGCTTCTGGGGTTGAAAAACAGAGAGGATATACATGTGAAGTTGCAAGGGGCTAGGAGGGAGGGCAGAGCTACTCAGGAATGAAGCCAATGTGGAAGAAAGCAGAAGAGAAGGCCCAGTGGGCCTGACGCCCTCCCTGGGATGTGTATGAACAACACAGCCCATAAATCCTCATTTTGCTTAAGCAAATTGGAATTGAGGTCGCTTCAGCAGCAACTCAAAGACTCCTGC